TATGCCTTTTCTGATACTGCTGAGCAACAGAAGCCACCATCTCTAGGGCCTGCATTACCACTGGATTGCTTGTTATAGCAGGTAATGTATTTCCTTGTTGTTTCAGCCAATTTTGGTTGAGGTTTCTGTTAGCTGCAAATCACTCTAATATAGAAGGGAAACAGGTGATTTTGCTGACTGAGTCCAAACTGGTTCCCTGTATGTTTGAAGACTATAATGCAGCTCTGATGCCATGAGTATCTAGATTGTTACCATCTACACTTTCAACCTGTCCGAGCACTCACTAGAGTCTCCAGGAATTCAAGTTCCCGGTGGACATTCCTTGAGCAGTGGTTGAAATCAGTTTCATCCATATCTCCTCCTGGCACATCATTATTCTCTGTGTGTTTGCTGAAAGAATGGAAGAGTGAATAAACAGTGGCACAGGCGTACAGACTTAAAGTGGCCTTCCAACACATTTACAGTTACCATGAATTCCATTTTATTTCTACATCTTCTCTTTTTGAAAGCTACCAGAGCTCATTAATAAATTATTGCTTCTAAGAGTTTCTGTCCACATCATATACTTTTGTAATTTTACCCACTGCATTATACTTCTATAGGTCTCCTTTCAGTGTTCCTGATTATACAGTATGAGGATATACATGTCATATGTGTTGAATAATGCAAAATAAAATACATTTACTACCATGTCATACAACTCCAAATCACAGGTTCATCAGATACCTTATATTTCAGTTTTTGACATATTCAGGGGTATTTGCACAGCCACTGGTTGCCTCTTGGCCAAGGAAAAAACAGTTGCTGGAGGCCACGTGTTTAGTTAAGTCATCTCCCATAAGAGGTCACTTGCTCATGATAAATGCCATTTGCCTTTAATAGTGCAGAGAGAGTCACTGTCAGGAGGAGATGTTGCAGGATGAGGACATCGCTCCCCTTACCTGTTCTAAGAGAATAATGAAGACGCAGGGCACATTTGATTCACTGACGTTTCTTACTTCTCTCATGTTCATTCAGATGTAAGCGGTGTTCAAAGTGGAAAAGAGCAACAATGCACTGAGAGGCAGGGCCTCTGCTCTAGTCCATAATTAGGTGTCAAGTCACCTCCCTGAGCCCCAGTTACCTCATTTATAAAATTATGGGTTGCATTAGACAGCCGTTCTCTGCCCTGGCTGCACATTAGACAATTCTCACCTGAAGACTTTTAAAAACATAGACAATTGGATCCCATCAGCCAAAATTCTGATTTAGTTGGTCTGCGTCGGGGGGCATCAATGTAAAGTTTCTAAAGTAAATCTAATGTGAGGCCATGGTTGAGAACTATATTACATTGTTTTAGGTTTCTCCCAACTTTGTCTGTTATTCTAATGCACAATCATCCTGGGACTTCTTAGCTGTGCCGTCGATACTCTTCTTTCTCATTCATGGAGAGTGCTGCCTAAGAGTCTCAGGCCAGTCCCACTCTATTGTCTGCTGTTTATACCTACCTCTAGGCAAACAAACCTGTACTTGGTACCAGCCAGAGAAAAAGAAGAATATGATATAACACACAGTACCTAAAGGAAAAAAGAGGATATAGGTAGGGTTGTTCTGAAGCCTTCTGAATGATCTTATTTCGATCTTATGAATCAGGGCATTGTTTGGTCTCTTTACCCAATTTACTCTTTCCTGTCACCTTGGTCCAGCATCCACTGAGGGCATCGAATCAGTTTCAGGGAAGACCAGGTGAGATTGCACAGCTAGGTGATTATAAATCTATTTTACTCCAAATGCAAACTACACAATGTACACATCCATCTGACTATTGGGCTGTGGTAAAGCATATTTTTATTGGAAAAAAGTGGACTTCTGATTATGACACAGACAATATACCACCCCCAGTAAACATAAGCAATTGAGCAACTTCAGTGCTTCCACCTACTTTAAGTCACATGGGGATAATACCAGCAGCAAATTTTCACAATGCTCTGGCCATATTTCAACTGCCAGTATCTGTATTTCTGTGCCTATGAGCTTTCTCTGGAACAAATGATGACTGTCTATGCTTAGCCCACAGTACATAGACTTAACATTCCTCTCAACAAGGAACTCCCAGAAATTTCCCCATGAATCTCCCAGCTTCCTGGCCCATCAAGACCTATCAACCTTGAGCATGTGTTTTATACACTCTCCCAGGGCTCCCCACAAGCTTATACCTCGCTGACCACTGAGATGTTTCTTATCGGTTTCCTTCCTTCTCTGTAGCACTTCTTCTTCACTTCACTTTCTTAATGGTGGTCCCTATACTTGATAAATACGATTCTTGTTCTTAGATCCTATCTCAGGCTCTGCTTCCAGGAGAATCCAACTTCGGACAACACCATTATTAGCTTTCAAGGTGCTCCTCAGGAGCTGGGGAGGGTAAGTGTTCTGAGAGTGGCAAAGGGAGCCAGCCAAAAATTGAAACCAAAAATAAATGAGAAAATCATAGTAGGAAAAGAAGAGCCAAGGAAGGGTAAAAGGGAGGAGTGGGTTAGAGAGAGGTGAAATGTAGTACTAAACAGGTAATCAGGACACATTTGTAAGTTAAAAATATATAAATACAGCATACATTATCATGTCCTTTTAAATGAACAAAGTATAAAATCTTGAATCAATAATAACTTCCATTCAGTTGTGTTCCCTCGCTCCAAAAACAGAGCAATGTAATGGCAGGGTCACTCTGTTTACAACTCTGGTTAATGACACATGGTCCGAACTGGCCCCCATTTCAAAGACAGTGCATTGTAGTGTAGGCTCAATTCAAGTTTCTTTCTTAATACAGGTACCACTACTCAAATTAATTTATCTTCAGGTCTAAGGGTGACAAAATTGTGTCTATTAAGGTGGAAGGTGGCTTCATACAATCCTTCTGCTGTTTTGGAACGTTCTTTGGAAGCAGACTTTGCAGCTGGTTCCATACCTGCTTTCAGCGCAGGTGATATGCACAGGGTCCCTTACCTTGTCATCTAAGAGAGAGCAATTGCTTTTCAAGGAAGAAAGCAACAACTTCAATCAGGCAGTTTATACTTAAGTTACAGTGGGGCATGATTTTAATCCAACGTAGAGGGAATTTGACACATAGCTTCCAGAGAAAGGGCATTATAGTAAGTCTAAATATCTAATTTCATTAAAGAATGTTTGGTGAATTATAAATAGAAAGGAATTTCTATTAAAAGATACCAAACTGGATATCAAACAACTGATTTATTTGACAATCCTGAAAATGTGAAATTATTATTCTTTATGAGAAAGCCTGTACGGGGGCTAATAAGGAGACAGAAACATAGAAGCGGCTCCTTCCTCCTGGCTCAGAAGTAGCTTTCCCGGCCTGAGGGCCTGGCTGCCTCTGAGCTCAGTAAATGCGTTTGGGACCAGGTCATGAAATTCCTTGTAAACTACATTGTGTAGTTTGCTCTTTATCCCCAAGGTAACAAGAAACCCATGAGAAACATTAAATATGGACAGATTTTTGATTTAGAAAGTTCACTGAGACTTCTGTGTGAGGAATAGAGTGGGGGGAGGAGAGGAGATTAGAAACAGAGGAAATGATGGTTATGGTGGTTGTTTAGGAAAAAGGTGAGCAGAGTCCAGCAGGAAGCTAGCGCCCATACTTCTTCTCTTTGGGAACAGAGATAAGGCTTGGGAGTCAACAGCAGTGACTGCAATGTGGTGATATAAGAAGTGCCCAGGCAAAGATTTAATGTGCCCAAATGGCTTTCACACCTCTTTTCATGCTGTCATTATCTAGATTTATATGCTATCTGTATTAAGGAAGACCTGTGATAACTTACAAGTTAAAATGAAGTGCCAATCACCTACTGAAGTTGAATGTATGCTTATCCTATGAGCTAGAAATTCTCCTCTTAGGTATGTACTCAACAGAAATGTATACATCTGAGTACCAAAGAAATGTACAAGAAGGTCATAGTTGTGTTATTTGTAATAGCCCAAACTGGAAAAAAATAAAATATCCATCCATCAACAATAAAAATTGATAAATTGTGGCGTATACAACAAAATAATGGAAAATAAACATGGATATTACATAAAGCAATAAAAATGAACAACATATTGCTACATAAAAATGCTGAGAAAAAAAGGCAGACACAAATGAGTACACGGTACAGAATCCATTCATGTCAAATTTTCTGTATGCTAAAACTAATTTATAGTGTTCGAAGTCTGAAAAGTAGTTCTGCATGGTAAGAGAAAGTGGTGGTGAAGAAGGTGGAGCACAAAGGAGGCATCTACAACACTGATGATGTGCAGCCTGCCCTCCACATCCACAGGTTCTGCATTCACACACTCAATGAACCACCAGAATCAAAAACATTTGGAAAATAGTGTTGTTGTTGCGAATGTGTACTATGTAGTTAGGCCCAGGATGGCTGCACCTGTACTGAATATGTACAGACTTTTTCTTGGCATTATTCTCTAAAAAATAGTGTAACAACTATTTCCATTGCATTTACATTATGTTATTATTATAAGTAATCTAGAAATGATTTAAAGTATGTGAAAAATACGCAAGGGTTATATACAAATACTATGCAATGTTATATAAGAGATTTGAGCATCCACAAATTTTGCTATCCTAGGAAGGTCTTGGAACCAATTCCCCAAGGACACTGAGAAATAACTATTATTTCTTGATGTTGGTGGCAACTGGATGGGAAGGTTCATTTTGTGGAAATCCACAGAGCTCTACTTATAATGATTTGTGTATCTTTTGTTTACACTCCTTAATAAAAACATTTATATAGAGATCAAAGAATCACAAATTCATAGGAAATTAGTTATAAATATGTGAAAAGTTATATTCCTTTTTGCCACTAGAAAAAAATCTGCAATGCTGAAGAAGTTGTTTAGAAATAAAATAAAACAGGCTTCCCATAGAGGAAGCAGTGACAATAGCTTTTGTTATGCCTCTAAGCTGAGTTATTACAACTAAATTATATGTCTTTAAATGTTTCAGTAGAGTGCTCACTTTGGCAGCACATATACTAAAATTGGAACTGTAGATAAGATGAGCATGGCCCCTGTGCAAGGATGACATGCAAATTTGTGAACAATTCCATATTTAAAAAAAAGAAAATGCTTCAGTAGAGAAATGTAAAAAGAGAAGCAACCTACATAATTTAGTTCCAAAAGGTGGTATGGTATAGGTAAAAGCAAACTGAATTTGAAACAAATTATGTACTAGAGACCAAGAAAAAATAATTCTACCTAGCATTTATCAAGTACTTATTATATGCTAAGCAATGAGATAGGAAATCTATATTTATTTTTATTTTACATTAATACAATGATCTTATGAGGTAGCTGCCATTGTTATACCCATTTGACAGATTATAAAACTGAGACTCAGAAAAGTTAAATAATTTCCTCATGTTCCCACAGCTAGTAGATACGGCAGGGCAGGATTTGACCTCAGACCTAACTGACTCCTAACCCCTTATACTCATCAGTAGGTGAAGCTGAGCAAGTAATCACAACCCTCTAAACCTTAGGCTCCTCTTCTATGAAATAGGAGACCTGGCCAGATTTGCTTTGAGTGGCGAACTGTGTTCATTGTTTAGATTGGGAAGGGCAGGCTAAGTCAACTGAAGAGAAAATCTTTTCCAGAGCTAAACTCAGAAGAAATGGTATCCTCAGTGCCAAGAATCTCCATTCTGGTAGTGTTGAGAAGAACCAGCAAAAACAACCCCTGTTAACAAACAGATTCCTGGGTCCACTGAAAATGTACTGATCGCTGTCTGCAGAACCGGGGCCTGTGGAAACGGTTATTATTGACTTTCCCCCAGCTGACAGCGATTTTTTCTATTCTTATGATCAATAAATGTTTTTGAAAAAATAAACTATAGATTTCAAAAAATTTTTGACAAGCTTCTCAGAGAGACTATTTTTATCTTGACTCAAGTTATGTAGAAAATATAAATCATTATTCAATAAATGCTTTTCTGCAGGGATCTATCATAAGATTTAGTCAGGATATAGGTTATTTGCTCTCTGGTGATTTAATATAGAAAAAAATTAAAAATCTAAAGGGTACAAGTTTGCATCTGGCAGGTAAATCCGTCCTGGCAATCTAATGCACAACATAGTGATTATAGTCAATGATACCTTATTATAAACTTCAAAGTGATTAGGAGACAGATCTTCATTGTTCTCACCACAAATAGGAAATGATGTCATGTGACCTGAGAGACGCATTAGATAATGCTAGCAAGGTAATCACATTATAATATAGAAACATATCAAATCAATACATTGTATATCTTAAACTTATACAATGTTACAATATTGTTAATTATCTCAATTAAAAAAGAGAGAATTAGCATGCAATTTAGAGTCTTTTAAATACGTCTTATTTTTTTTTAAGAAGGTGCTGTACTCCTGCCAGTTCACCATTTAACTTTCTAACAAGAATGTTTAGTAAAGCCAAATACTTGTGGTTAAACTCTGATCCATATCCTTTCAAGGCATTAAAGAAGGAGGGGCAGATCCATTCTGTATTGAAAGTTTAAATGACAAGATGATTTAGCAAAGATATGTCAGAAAAGTAGGTTCTGATGATATTTTTTCTAGAAAGTATTTGGGAATTTCTACTTGAAGTACTTGATTAAGAAGAGAGTTTTTCAAAATTGCAAACACAAATGATGTGATTTTTCTGCTAAAGCTGTTGTTATCTAATATACTATTTCAGGAGTTCAAGAGTTCAGGTCCTAAGAATAATATTAGATACGGAAGCACATTGAGAGAATTCCAAAGACAAAATGTGAAAAAAATGTGCCTGCTTCACAATTATACAGCTATCTCCAGCCCAGCCAATCCCAAAAACCATGCTTAGAAACAGCATTTGTGACATTTGCCAAGCCAGTCTAGTACAGAATATTCTAGAAGTGCATAGAACATCTTGAATAACAATTAAAAGTTAGTTTGCATACATGCAGAGAAGCAATACTCTGTATTTAAAAACAATAAAATGAAACACAGAATGGACAACAGGTAGAGAAAAACTGCTTCTCATGAGTGATTTTGGCAGCTCTCAAGAAAAATGATTAAAATTTCAAAAGATTTTAACAAGCCTGAGGGGTATTCTTTTGAAATGATCAAGATTAGAGTATGTGTGAACGCAAATGTGGGGGAGAGGAATCTCTTGAGAAGGAAAACAACAATTTTTCTCAGAGACGGTGACAGGGCAAGAACAAAAAAGAAAAATTGCCTCTCCTCTGAGCTGTACTCAGCTCAATTAGTACAATGTCACAACTTGAGAGCAGAGAGTATGAGTTGGCAGACAGGCATAAAAGGTAGAAATAGAAGAACACTAGCCCTTAGGAGCTATTTCATGCTACCTATGAGATGGAGTGTAGTGCACTGGCGCTTTGGGATAATAATTACTATGTTGGGGAAAGGTAACATGTTTTAGGAGTATCTTGTTCATTACATTATCTTAACCCTAGGATAAATTACTCTACATCCCTTAATTCTATGACATGGTACTTCATCTTAAACAAAAGGTATCACAACAAGCCCCTACCCCTACCCATGCAAGAACAGTACACCTGAATGTACTTAATCATGGATAAGCTCAGCTGCCTTCCATATTAATGCTCAAGAAGGAGTCTTCTTGCTCCATTACAGTCTGGGGCTCCTGCCAAGTACTAACTCCAAACTGATCAGGTCTGTGCCAGGAATGATTTGGATTAGGTTAGAATGAGTACAAGCCTGCTTAGTTGAAAAAAGGAGGCCAAAATTGGTTAAATCGAATTAAACTTTAAGTGTTGCCATATTTTCCTGGGTAAACACATATTCGGACAGAATGACAGTTATCCTATTTCTATATCCTAACATGCTGCTAATAATTAATGTAGCAGTACTAAAATGAGCAAAAACTCTCTCTATAAAAAACCCTTTCTCATTCAGAAGCCTCCTTCTAAGGAAGAAGTGCTCATGTTAAAATATATCTGTATATATTTGAGGAATAAAGGTATTCTTTAAAACATTATTACTCCACTATGAAAAGTAAAATGCATCATACACATCATATCCAAATTTAGGCCACTTTTCTTTGGAGGGAAGACACACCTTTAAAATAGCAATTGTTTATAGAGTTCACACATATTTAATTTGTATCCTTTCAGTCTGTTGCAAACAGAATAAAAACTCTTTCAAAAGTGTATTTACATAGATAGCATGAAGTTTTAAAAGTATAGATAATGAATCTCAGTCTAAGATTTTTATTTAAACTTTATGAAAATGAGATTTGCAACATATAAATACAATATAATTTTTTTGAACTTTCTTGTCTTTCATTGTGTGAAGAACTCATAAAGGGAAATGTTAAGTCCAATGAAGCTTCAATGTCCCCATATTTAATCTTCTATTAAGCAGAACTCCGAAAGAAAAAAAATCACAAAAATATACAGTACTAGGGCACTTAAATCCACCCAACATATTATAGACTGTAACAAATTAAAATTTATTATGTCTTTTATTATGCACAGTAGTGTCAAAGGCATCAACCAACTGATCTGATACTCCAATGCAACTATTTAGAAGTTTTCCACTTAGGTAAGAGCTTTGGGTAAACTGCTTGTTGGAGCTATTTAGCATCACAAATACACTTAGCAGAAAGCTACTCAAGTATCGCTGTCATTTTGGCACTTCTTAGAGAAAGAGCATGTTAATAGGTTTTGGTTTAAAAGGGAGGCTTTTTATGAGATATCATAAATATTGATTTCACTCACAGATTCACAACTGTTTACAAGCTTGTGTATGTTACATAATACCAACCTTTCCATTTATATACCTGAGTGAGATTTCAATGGGGATCCAAACACCTAGGATTTTTCAGGCAGGTCTTGAAAGACTCTGGGCAATAATAATTTGGAGGTTCTTATTTCTTTCCTCTAAAAGAGGAAAATTTTTGAAAATTCAAGTAAAAAATCACAGCATAAGAGATCAGAGTTCTAATATATTTTGTCTTTCTATGGAACTATCTATCCATGAATCCAGAGAGAAGACTTTTCAAATAAAGCATGCAACGAATATAATTTGACAGTCCACTAGAGGCTTCAATGCATTACAAAAGTAGAAAGATAACCCTTCCCTTCAAAAAGACCTAAAGAAAAACAAAGGAGGAAAATGAATAAGCATATGCAGGCATATTAACATTTACATAGGCATATGCGCAATAGGCAATGCACACACGTGAGAAAGTTTAATTTTTTTTTTTATAAATGGTATGTTAGGCTCAATCTAACATATACTGAATTTTTCTCATGCACAGATACTGAAGATATATGCCTATTTTATGGATTAATTTGGTTACTTTTTTAAGGTCTTTACGGATGAATGGATGATAGAGTATTAATATGGTTCCAAAAATAAGAAAATATATCTGAACCTAAAAACCAGTTGGAAAGAAGACAAATATCCTGAAGCCAGTAGTAAAATTGAACTTTACAAAACAGCCGCAAGTGGGTGCACCTCTAACTAGACCACGCTGCCAGCTAAGAAAAACAAATAACGGTCTCTCCTAAAGAAAAATCACCATAGATAACAGAAGATTGGAGATATTTCCTAAATAATGAAAATTCATGACAACCCTATTTATTTTCAAATGAATTAACAAATGTAAATAGCATCAATAGAATTCTATATAAACATAACACACAGGGGTTCTTACCCTATAAAGAACAAACATTCAGTGGAGTCACCACAGATAGCTTCCCACAAATGCACTAATAGGTGTATATGTACTTGCTTTAGAAAAATTGCTCTGAGGAGGGTTTCTTTCAAACCTAGGATTTTTCACATAAGAATCCTCCCTTGCCATTCACAGACTTACAAGTGAGAGGGAGTGCTTATTACTTATTGATGTGATCAATTAACTTTTGTTAAAACATAAAGCAAAGTGTGGACTGGGGTAAAGTTTTTTGATTCAAGTTTAATTTAAGCCATAAACATGCTAGATAACTGAAACATCTTTACATTAGAATATAGGCCATACTAAATTCAATTACTGGACCATTAAACCTCAGGATTCATTTCTGAGCATCACAACACACAAATGTCTTTGGAATGCTATAATGCCTCTCCTGAACTTGAAAGAAACACCGCCTGCAGACAGGCCCACCTGAACTTAATTTTAATTTATGGAATTTATCTAAATTACTGTTGAACTTGGGGCTTCTTGTTCGTACTACTTCTTAAGGTTTTAAGCTTTATGTGTCAATGACATATTTAGAACAAGTTTCCTTTAAGTACATTGACCTTATTCATACTTTCAAATTTGATGTATACATTTCTATACATTTGCCTTTGCATACTGAAAATAGTGTCTTAAAGTCTATGCTCAAATAAAATTCTTTTATTCCTTTGATAATTTCCTAGCTCACGAGATTAACATATCAAAATTAGTATTTAATACCAGTGTTATAAAGACTTAGCTTTCCTTGATGCTTTTGAGAAAGATATAAGAATTCCATACATTATTTATAACTATAAATTCTTAGTAGTTTTCCATTTTAAAAGCCTAGAAAATCTCTATAGGATGGCCAAATATTTTTCATACTGAGTATTTACTTGAAATTCTTCCTTCTGACCAAAAACCTGTATTATTCCTTTCTTTGTACTGAAGTAAGGCTAATCTTAGAAAGATTATCTCTGCTCTGATTAACTCCTATTTTCATTAATCAGATCCCTTCATTAATCTTCATTAATTTTTCCTTCATCAAACTACTATACTTGTGGAGCTTTTTTGTAAATTTTATGTTGATTTTATGATCCTCTGCCTTGTCTTCCACAACAGGTTTATATCTGTTTTGAGAGAGAAAAACTGGGCCCTTATTTTACCACACAACCTTAAAATAAAAGGCACATAACACTGTCCTGTCTTAGAACTTAAGTATTTTTGTTGGTATAAGTTTTTATTGTCAATGAGTTATGTGCCATTTATCAAAACTTAGGGAAAAATAGGTAGAGATGATGGTCTTGAATCGACAAATGATACCTAAACCCAAATACTACTAGATGTGCTATTCAAACTAATTAAAAACAGATGCATGAATTTCTCTTCCATTAAACAACCTGTACAGAAAGTCTAATCAAAATGAGATTAAGAGGACAGAAATTCATACAGTAGAATTAGTAATAGAAGCCTGTGTAGCTATTCTGTTAAAGCAATTTTGGAGAATAAAGACTCAACCTACCCATAGAAGATGTACTTCACCTCTCTAAGAATAAGTGACTTTTATTTTTTTTGAGGATAAAGGACTTTTTACTATCATCATTCTGTTCTCCACCTATTCAACTAGATTAAAAAAATATATTATACATATTTATAATATGTGTGCATATACATGTATATATATGTATACATGTGTATAATCTAATAATCAGTATGTAATTGTGGGAGAAAACTTAGTTCTTTATTATTCTTAACTAAATCTTAGAGACTCTGTTTTACGGATAAAGTCAGCTGAAATACTCAAATCAATTTTGATTGCTTAGGATGGCACTTTAACTAGACATCTCTATGGAAGGGTATTCAGGGTTCCATTTATGAAAACAGCTTTGACTTTTGGAAACAGGTAGAGAAATAGTTCAGAAGAGACCTGAAGAGCTGTGGAAACACTGGCAAAACTGAGAACTCCTCCAAAAATTAGAATAAGAAGTTCGGTGATAGAAAACCATTTTTGAAGTATATGATCAGACCAGTAATTATATTTGTGGCCATAAGTAACTGACATTCCTCCAACATTAGTACATTCATCTGTGCATGTGTGTGTTTGTGTGTGTATACATGTATCACTTTTATAATATTAAAAATAATCAAATTATATTTCAAGATTATTTAAAATCAATTGGATCAATTTTTGTAAACATTATTAGTGCTAATAATATGAAGTTGAACTCAACCTTACCTAGAAATGGCCAAGTCTTCTCTTACTAATTGTATTATATTGATTTCTGCTTGGTGAACCCCTCTCCTGAACTTGTGATAACCTTTCATTCATGAGCTGCTTGTAACAAGACAATGGCTTCAATTTCAATAGGAAATAATAAAGGGGGTAATTTTTTTTAGCTTTTTATTTGCTGCTCCATGCACTTTACCTGATTCTTGAGATCCAATTTGGGACATGGACGACCTCCGTTGTAAGGTTTTTCTTTTAGCCATTTGGATCGAATTCTCACTCCAATCCCACAGGATGAACTGCAAGCCCCCCAGCTGGACCAATCACTTAACTTGCAGTCAAATGGGCAGGGGATGACACATTCTTCTTGAATATAACCTGCAAGAAAAAAAGAAAAGAGTTGAAGAGAAGGGAAAAAGTGTCAGATCAAAATGTAATGATCAAATTCACTTGGAGCTCAGATTGCTTAACAATACTGCCACAGGAGCTTCGGTAGTTTTCCGCTCAAGTAAACAGACAAAAGTTCTCAGAGACAGTATATATGATTACATCTGCAATCCAAATTTGTGCCATCTGTTTATTTCATAGACAATTCTGGGATGGAACAGTGCAGGGAAAAGTGCACAGTGAGCTCTGCTTTCTTATCAGAAGAAATGAGGCAGTTCAGGGCTAATGATACCATCCCCCTCACTGGATATTGCATCCCACCATTCCTGTAATTCGGTCTGGAGGCAGGGAGTAGAATAGAGTCAATCATTTTTTGTGTCTGTGATCAGCAAGGCTTTCATTAATAAAGCTCTTGATTCTCACATCTAAGTACTGTGACTTGGAGTGGAGTGCGGAGGAGGGCACGGAAGGCACCACCAATTAGGAAGAATGGGGCGTTACTGAAAGAAGAAAGTAGAGGCCTAGTGAGAGGCTGTCTAATGAGATATTGGACTGAATTAAGAGATAAGGATTGAAATACAGATACAGATGTTCTAGCTTGGTCCTCTGCTCCGTTCTTGCTAGTCTTTCTCTAGACAATCCCACTGTTTACCTTCACCTCAAATGATCACTATCAAATATATTTTTTCAATTCTGATCTCTTTACTGAGTTCTATACCACCTACTCATCCACTCTAATTGGCCCAAACACTCCTATTTACCCCAAAATTCAACATGTCTAAAGTTGAGGCCATTGATTTCCTCCCAAAACATTATCATTCTCTTCTATTAATCATCTTAATTAACTGCAACATATCTGATTCCTATACACTAGTGTATATACATGCTTGTGTGCTCTCTTCCCCTTGCATTTATACAGCTTATCCTAGCCACAGCTCCTGTACAAATTCAAGGGGACAAGGGCACACAGATATTGTCCTGTGAATAGGATAAGCTGCCATACCCATGATTAGGTTCTGATGTGCAGCAAAGCGGAAGTAAACTCACAGATATAATTAACAGGCCAAATTAGTTGATTTTGCATTAACCCGAAGGGAGGTTATTTTGAGTGGGCCTGATAATCAGATGAAAAAACCGTAACATAGTGATTGGGTCCTTTTTGTGGAAAAAGATGCTCCTGCTGGCCTTGAAAAAGCAAACTGCCATTCTATGGCATGCCTCTGGAGTGGCCCATAGCAGGGGACTGAGGGCAGCCTCCAGGACCTACAAGCATCTCTGGCTATCAGCCCGCAAGAAAACAGGGCCTCAGCCTTAGCACTGCATGAAGGTGAATTCTACCAATAGTTCCAAGGCAGCCTGGGCGGGAAGTTTTCCCCAGTTTGGCCTCTGCCGAGACCTTAGCCTTGGCCCACACATTGATTGCAGCCTGGCGAGACTCTTAAGCAAAACAGAAAATCTAGAGAAGCCAAGCCTGGACTCCTGACCTTTGGGAATTGAGATAATAAATGTTTTGAGCAAAGTCTGTTGTAATTGGTGATGGAGCAACTGAACACTAGCAGATTTTCCAAAATAAAAAATCTTGCAGTCATTTTGGACCTTTCTCATTATTTTACACATATATTAATAGGTGTAATAAGTTTTTATGTTAAATATGTCCCCCACTCTACAATTCTTTTGTCAGTCTTTAGTTCCAGATATTACTGTTTCCTGTCTGGGATGCTGCAATATTCTCTTCACTAGCCTCCCTTTTTCCTAATCATTCTTTTTTAATATTGGTCAGTTACTCTTCTAAAACTCTATCAACTATAATGAAAAATATATTTAAAAATAATGTTGAAAAGATAAAAATACATGGTTTATGTTACTTCTTTTAAAATCTTTGCTGCTTCTTCATTGTCTTGAAAATAAAATGCCACTTACTTTGCAAAAACTGTACGATTCTTTTCAAGAGGCTCTAAGCAGGGGTTTTCAACTTGACCATAAAATATACTCCCATTGCCCAGGATACACTACAGACCAATTTGACCAGAATCTCAGAAGATGGATCTAGGCATTAGTAGTGTTCAAAGATCCCCAGGGGAGTCTAATGTGCAGTCAAGGCTGAGAACCACATCCCTAACTTGTTTTATTCCTGCCCTTCCTTTTCCTCTATCTTGAAATCTGTCCACATAGACTACCCCAACTTCTCCAATAAAATGTATGCCTCTCATCATGCAAAGCTATTCTTTCTCTAGCCTGTTTAGCCTTCCTGGTTCATTACTTCAACCACTCTCTTGCCAATATAATTGACCAGCTGGCCCCATTGTTCTTCTGCCATGCCCGCCTGGCAAAACTTCAGACCTAGATCGTCCAATTGTTTCCTACTCTGAGCTTAACACTAAACTACCAAGCAGATATGCAAATAAAATGCTAGTACACACTGGTGACCACACTCTGTAGTCTCTTCCTTCAGCAAAGTTCTTACACTGCCTAGTGATCCTTCTGCATTTTCTTTTCAATTCTATTTCACGTTACAGCTTTTTCAAACCTTCTCTACATGCCTTCAAACTTTTAAGAACTCACTTCTTCTCCCTCCCAAAAAATGTTTTGAAAGAAATGAAAAAGAATTTCTTTAATTTCCTATAATTATATCTGTATACATCCTCATTTTTTTATCTTCTCTCTTCATATTACAATGGGAAATAGCAACCACTTTTCTCCTAAAGGCACATTTCACCACTTGATACCTTTCCAGACTTTTTCAGGACCTTGTTTCCTTTATTTATTTCCTCCCTCCCTCCATCCCTTCCTCCCTGTGCATATGTTAGTATACACACATATATATTACATATTAAATATAATTTTATACTTCTGTTTCTCTTATATTAATATTAGAATGACTTTACATTTTTCAAATAACTCATCGATAAGAGAAAGTACACTGAACATCTAAGGATTATCAGGAAGGATCTTTCTGGGGTTGAAAAAAACTGCTCCACTTGAAGTTGTTAAAAGACTAATTCTCTGTTGTTTAATATAATTGTAATTCTACAGAGCATTGGTCAGCATTTCAGTATTAAGTACATAATAAAGCTAAACACAGGATTAAATAGAGTCTACAAGCATTATTTAATTTTACAGAGAAACTGAGTCACAAAATGATTCCACTTGCTACTGAATGGAAAGAGCAGTCCTAGTAATTAAGTGGAATTAACTCTCAAGTCATGCATACTTCAGATATGAAATTCCAGGAGACTTCCTACAAATAACTTTCAGCCCTGTCTGGTGGAGCCCAGTGGATTGAGCACTGGCCCGCAAACCAAAGGGTTGCCGGTTTGATTCCCAGTCAGGACACATGCATGGGTTGTGGGTCAGGTCCTCAGCAGGGGGTACATGTGAGAGGCAACCACATGCTGATGTTTCTCTTCCTCTCCTTCTCCCTCCCTAGCCCTCTCTGTAAAAAAAAAAAAAAAAAAATCTTAAAAAATAAAATAAATTCATAATTCTTAAAATATTAAAAAATCAATAACTCTTAAATATTTGAGTAACTATAAAGATTCTGTGTTGAAGCATATTTTGAATTAGATGCCCTTTTAATTCAATGAGATTTCATTTTTATCTATATTTGCATATTGAGGGATTTTAATTAGAGAGCCTCTAAAGGGCTGTTTTATTTATTTTTTTTCTTCTGATAAGAAATAAACCCAGAGGATCTCTATGAAAGTCAAGGTCATAAATTCAATGAGTATAAAATAGTTTTGAAATTCAACAGGACCAAGCAACAGTGACATTCATTTTCCAGGAAAGTTATATTTATGCTAGAGTATACCCCAAAGGAAGACCCACAGTGAAAACCATTAATAATTGCACATTCTTATCCCTATCTCATAATTGAAAGGATTAGTTTTACTCACATACTTAATAGTTACAATTTTTTTGGCAACAGAATATGATCAAATGTGGCTACATACAAGGTTAACCAGCCAAATGAGAATTCAAATTCCTGACTATGGAAACTTCACTAATGTTCTAAAAAACTCATTTACATAAAATATATCTCAGAACAGCTTCTCTAGTAACATTCATAAATCTAAATTCAATTGCTATGAAAGAAGCAGATTTTCTACAAAAAATACTTTACACTATGATTAATATGCAGAATACATTGCTTGGACTGTCATATTACTTAGCCTGGGGGTATTTTCATGTTCTATTTTAGTTATCTTTATGCGTGAAGTGAGGTATAAAGTATTTATTAGAGAATTATCAATAAAGCATACACCCAACATTGTGATTTTATACACTTCACATAATACGTATTCAAAAATTATCTGTTGCTCTTACGAATAATGATGAACTACATAAAATCTCTGATTAGTGTCTCTATGTTATAACTGGAGGACTTTATTTAATAATTTACCCATGCAGGCTGAAGCCCACAGATATGGAATGACTTTTCAATCTACATTGCTAATGCCCCAAATATTGCTCTTTAGGTTAGTGTAATAGACTTACCTAAATAGGTAAAAACACAGCTCTACGTACAAGGCAATCTTATTGATAAAACTACTTCCCATAATATTACCTCCTGTGCCTTTTTCTCCCCCCATAATTCAAGTACTAACACATTTCCTGCTCTCTAAGAGTTTCATTTGAAGCATTAAAAGGAGAAAATATTAATAATATTAAGAGTCTGAGGAATAACCTAGGTTAATTTGCTTATATGTTTCTATTGTGTAGAGTTATGGAAGACATCCTACTACTCAGTGCATGCTCTATATATTGGCATTTTGCTAGAATAATGAAAACACACTACTAAAAATAACGTAGCTAAAAGATGAATAAAATGCTGATTGTCTCTTCCCTACTTCAAAGGGAAAATCTGGAAGAGACTTGTAGGTTAAAATAATATAATGTTTTCATTTCTCAATGTTTAAAGGCTATTCTTTTCATTCATACACTTTAGTACAACTATTTATCTAGTAATGCACTATACTAAAAAGTATCTGATA